TTTTTTAAAAATCCGATGTGTGGATCACATAATATTTCAAAAATTTTAACTTTTGAGTATAGATGATCCGCACTGTATTACATATTACGTTTTTGGCAAAATAATTACCATAGCATGTATAGTCAGCACCGTAAGATTTATGTGATATTAAGTTGGCATCATAAGATTTATGCAAGTTTATGCTAAATTAATTTCCTGATGCTCAGCATCAGCTGTTGTATTGAATGAACAGCTTATTAAAGAGAAAGGTTGGAGCTTTGCAAATCTTTTAGGAATAGATGAAGATGATTTCCATTTTTCAAATGGATGGATCCAAAAATTTAAGAAAAGAAATCAATTGGTCTCTTATAAATTTCATGGTGAAGGAGCAAGTGCTCCCATTGAAACACTTCCAGAAGAACAAAGGAAACTACAAGAGGTAATTTCAAGATTTGATCCTGTAAATGTATTTAATGCAGATGAGACTGGACTTTTTTTTTGAATGGCACCAAACCAGACACTAGCAAAATGTAGGATGGCAGGGAAAAAGTGGTATATTAAAGTTTTATTAATGAATACATATACATACATATTGTTTGTCTAAAAAAATTTTTTTTAAGGACAAGTCTCGCATAACAGTTCTTCTTGGTGTAAATTCAACTGGTACTGAAAAATTGCAACCATTAGTAATTGGGTATTCTAAAAGACCTGGATGTTTTGTTACAATTAATATTTCAAGGTTACCTGTAATTTACAAGTACAACTCAAAAGCTTGGATGCATTCTGATATTTGGGTGTCATGGTTAAAACATATAAATGAAGAGTTTCAAAATAAAAACAGGCAAGTATCACTTCTTGTAGATAATGCAAGTTCACATTCTTCAAATGATGGCAAAGCTCCTCTTTAGTTGTCAAATATTACACTGCAATATCTTCCTCCCAACACCACATCCCATCTGCAACCACTGGATGCAGGGATTATCAAGTCATTCAAAGCTAAATATAAACATTTATACTGTTCACATGTTCTAAGACAATTTGAAAGTGGTGTAGATATTGAAAAGTCGGTAATCTTTCAATTATATATTTTTTGCATAGATTTTTTCTCATCAGCTCTTTTTTTAGGTCCAAGCTCAATTTAAAACAAGCTATTGATTATGTTGATCAATCTTGGTCTGGTGTAACAACTACAACAATAAAAAACTGTTGGGGCAAGACATGGTGGCCAAAATTCACAAATGAATTCAATGGTGAATGAAGATGACAAGTTTACCAATCCATTTAATAATCCATTAACTGATGATAATAATCAACAGCATTGGTCCATCATGTTGAAGAATACATTATTGCAATTGATGAACCACTTGTAACTGAAGATACTCTTAGTGATATAGAAATTGTTGAAATGGTTTTAGAAGATGCACAAATTGAAGCTGGTGCTAATGTAGATTCTGATGAAGACAATGAAGAACCACCACCACCAATGGTTACAATTAAAGAAGCTTATGAATCTTAATTTAGATTTGAAGAACAACAAGATGAAATAATCAATTATAATATAAAGAAGTTGGAAATGTTTAGAAAATATCTTCCTTATTATGAGAAGTTAATTGATAAATCTAAAGTACAACCAAAAATTGATGATTATATTAATAATAATAATAATAATGTTGATAATATTATTGGTATAATTTAATAAAGCATTACACTATTTTAATATTATTTTATTATTTTCATCATTTGATAAACCTCTCTATAGTGACAGCATGTAGTGACATTATAATATTGTTCTTTAATGGAGATTCCCTCTGTATAAGAACACCTTTTATTAAGAACACATTTTGGCTTTACTGATGGTGTTCTTATATGTAGGTACGACTGTATATAGAAAGATGGTCGTTGATCGTGATGTAATATTTAGTGCATCACATGACTTCCGTAGCAAGTTCGTTCTAATTGGTCAATATTAATCGGGCAGTTGATAGGTACAAAATTTACTATCTCACAACAGCTATGATAAAGCTGTATAGAGTTCTCTGAAATTGCTATGATTTTTATTTAAAATAACAGACTTGTACCATAAAATTATACAGTCATATTACCTCTAGAGATTCTTTAATTGTAGTTATGCATGAAATATTAAAATTAGAACTTCTTAAATATGAAAAGGTTGTATTGTATGTCTTTAATCATAAATTCAATCATTATTATTTTTTAATTTGAGTGTTTTGGTAATCATTAATTCATTTGAGCAAAATCTTCATTGTTATCTAAAATTTGTATTATTTCAAATAAATAACAATAAAATATATTAAGTATGAAATACCTTTTTGACCACCCTTCTCTAACAATTCCATGTTCTTTCCATAAGTGTGAGATAGTATTTGAAGTAGACCTTTTGTGTTATATGGGGCATACTGCAACAAAACCAGACAAAGTGAACATTGGTGTTACCAAGAATTTCAGGGATCAAAATTTAGTCATTTGTAATGTGATTATTAAAATTTCCCATTTGTTTAATATTAAGTGATATATAGAATTACTCCTATATAAAAATAGTTAATATGAAGTTAATTTACATCAGATCCACTATGGAACCCAAGAATTATAGTACTATCAGAAGTATTCTAAAAAAGGAACAAGGTGAAAAAATTGCTCATTATATTTTCAAATAAATAATACTCAGATGCTGGAAGCTTATCTAAGGAAAAAAAGATTAATTATGAAATCTACCAAGAAAAAAGAAAAATTAAAAGAGTTAATTTTTACTTTGGAACATAGTTGTTTGCCATAATTTTTTTGCATTTGCCATATATTATGGCAACATTATTCTCTATATTATCTACATAAAAAACCACCCAGAATTATGGCTATTGATTTAAAAAGTTCAAATAATTATGGAAATTATTTTGGCAACTATCAAAATTAATTATGGTAACTATGGCAGAATTATGGCATTACAGATACAGTGACAATCATCTATTAAGAGAGGCAATTATGGCAAACAACTATACTTTAGAATTAATTGGATAAATTCTAAAAATGTAATTATAGTTAAAAAAATTTTTTCTTGAAGACAGATTTATTTAAAAAATAAAAAATATTAATTTTTCCTTATTATTTTGTAAATTTCAAATTCATCCAACAAACCACTACCTCTAATGTTCAAATTATTTATATAAACAGAACGATTATTAAAAAAATAATGATAGTAATGACTTTCTGTAATATAACCCACAAACAAATCACCAAAACTTAAAATTGATTCAGCCATTTCATCACTGTAGTGATAAAATGCTTCTTGAGAGTTTTGGACTCTACTTAATATTGTGTCACTTTGTCCAATTTTGAAAATAAAGCTTTTGTCTGATTCAATATAATATGAATCATTTGAAGATTTTTCCTCTTTATTCCAACCGACAGGATTATATCCACCTATCAATTCACCTGTTTTTTTTATTTTTAAAATTGTTGCAGTTTCTTTAATGTTGTAACATTTATCTTCAAATGCAGATCTAGTGAATCCATCTTGACTGCCCTGAAAAATTAATTCAAATTTGTAAGGGGTGTTATCTTCATTATATAGATTGTTTTTGCAATCAATCCAACTTGAAATTAAGTATTTGGTTTGTGAATTTAATAATTGTCCTGTTCTTATTGCTGTTTTTGATCTTGGACCTTTTTGAAGTATAAATCTTGGTTGGCATCTACCAGTAACCTGGTATTGAAGAAGTTCTTCATATATTTCTTTATTAAATATTTTTTTATAAGGTTTGATTTTATCATAAAAGTCAATAGAGGAAATTTCGTAAAATCTTATTAACAGAATAATGTCATCTAATTCATTTTTTAGCATGATAAAATCCTCCTTCATCCATTCTGAAACTTCTTTATTTAATTTTTCATTTTGATTTTTTCCCCATTGAATGACAATATCCCAAATATCGATTTCTTTTAATTCTAAGTCATCTCTTTCTAACATAGTAATAAGCATAGACTTTTCAATCATTGTGATGTCATTGGATTTAAAAAACAATTCAGGATTTTTACTAATTATTTCACTACAATAATCTTGAAGCAAATTGAACGATCGATGTTGTGATGAGATTTTATGAGCATAAATTAAATTCTGTTGAACCCATTCTTTTTTTTCTTTGATCAAATGGTCTTGTAAGTCATTAATCAATTCATCAATGTTTAATTCATCACATGCTTCAAGAAGTTCAACAATTTGAGCAGCATTTAGATTGTCTATCTAATTATTCCATTATAAATATATCTTTAAAAAACACAAATAGATAAGATAAGACAGATTGTCAATCATTCAATTAAATATTTAAACCCAAAAAAAACTTACGTTAAAAGAACTTCAAAAATTTTTGGTGAGATATTTTTTTTTTCAAATAGAATAATACCATCATCAGATCGTTTTGTCCAGTTATTTGATAAAGCAACCTTGAAATATGAAGATCTTGCTTTTAAAATGGTGGAATGAACCTTAAAAGTTTTAACATCCTGGTCCTCTCCAACTTTGACTTCTACATCATAAAAATCAGGTTCATTTAATAATTTTGCTAAATCGTTCAACAGTTTGTTTAAATGTTTTGGTTCTACCAAATCTTCCAAAGAACACCTGAAGAATTTTTTTAAAAAATTTATTAATAAGGAACTGAATAGCTCTAAGCTCATATATATATATATATATATAGAATGAAGATGAGTTGCAACGATCATGATGCCACCATTCTTTTAATAATAACTAGAGTGACGACAAGTGGCGGGCGATAACCACCATTCTTAAAACACTTACCCAAAATATTCCTCACGATTGACTGTTTTTCTTCTTTATTTTTTTGATTTCTATCGTCTGGCATTTTTTTAAAAGAATTATTATTCGATCGACGCGTACACATTAATTATTTATCCTATTGGTTGTTTTTTTGGTAGGACAGACGCGAATTGATTTTTTTTTCTTGGAAAAACAATTTATTTATTTTTTAACAGTAAAACGCAAATCTTCTAAAGAAGACGTGTTAATAACTAACCAGAGGTACTATTTTTTATTTGTATTGATATGTATGTGGTGTATTTTTATTTTATAAAAATATTTTAATT